TTCTTCATGTTGTTTTTTCAAAGGCCATTCATAGTACTGCTTATGTGTTGGTTTTTAGTATAATTTGATTTTTTTCTGCCTTTAAAAAAATATCCACCTTTGCAGAGAAGGTGCAACACCTAGAGAAGGTAGGTGTTGGGTATCCCCAGCTCCCGTCCCCAAGATAATGGCGTTATGCACAGTTTAGACCACGCTTCAGTTGTTTCCCCTTGAATATCTTACATTATTATTTTGCAGAAAGGGGAACATACCTCACCTGCCTTCCACAGTCAATTGTGTGGACACTTCCTGCGGACAGCCCCGCCCACTGCCACCCAGGCCGGCTGGATAGATAGAGGTGGGCTTGATCTGGTGAGACTGAGTGGTAGAGCTGGTACTTTCACAGTTGTTTGAGGGACTTGGTTTTGCTTCCCTGTTGGTGTAGTTAATTACTGGGATTACTATTAATTATTGTTATTTCAGTCAGAAATCTTACCTCAGCATGAGGCTGTTTCCCACAGTCGTCCCATCCCCAGTCTCAAAATGCATGAGATAACGTGGTCTGTAGCAACTGCCTTCAGCCCTTTCCAAGAACGGTGACTTCATATGACTTTAATTGGGCCTGTTTCCCCAGCTCTGTCCAGTGCCAGGTGGCTGTGCAGCCTGAGGTCTAGTCAGGCAAACCTGGCTTTGAATTCTAACCTAGTCAGTCTCCTGTTGAGTGACTCAAGCAATGACTCAGTTTTTCCATCTCCAACTTTCTTGCCTGGAAGAGCTTGAGAGCTGTTGTGTGAGACAAAGTATTAGCATAGTTTGCCATTCATGACCAGCCAGACTGCCCCTAATTTTCTAGTATTCCCCCCAGTGGAAGCCAAAAATGCTGTCTATCCAAATTTTCTGCCCCTTGCCCCAGCCGTCAATCCTGGATTTAACCTGTTATCCACATCCATCCTTCCTAAAGTTGTTTTGGTCCTAAAGTTGCCTGCCTAAGGGAATTCTGTGCTCCTACAAGGGGGCCCACTGCAGTTCTTGTATGTATGGATGACTTTATTTTCTCTAATATGTCTTTGCTTAGGGCACATGCCTGTCCCCCATGTACAGAGAGTGCTGCTTAGACCTTGGGGCTCCTGTGATTTGGTAGCTGGCCCTACCTTTTGACCTGGGAGCTAACCTCCATTTGCTGGGACATGATTGATTCAAGAATGGGCACAAAGGAAAGATACTGACCTAATTCATTCACAGCCATCTCCTTAACTGCATCCCACTGTACAGACTGTAAAATCTACTTTCCCAGTTTCTTTCAGCTAAGGGGTGATCACGTCATCTAGTTCTGGCCAGTGGAGGAAAAGAATGATTTCTGAGAAGATGTTTTACTTTTTGAGAAAAATGACATGCTCCAGAAACAAACTATCTCTTCCTGTCCTTTCCTTCCTGCCTTGGGGGAGATGTGATGCTTAGCCTAGGGAAGCTACATTATAAATGTGAAGCAACATGAATACAGCATTAATGGAGCATGAATATGGCTTGAATGTAAAGGGAGGATAGAAAGAACAAGTCTTTGATATCTGACCTTAAGTCCTTAATATCTGACCAGTCATGGGCCTCATACTTCTGAACTTCTTGCAAGTAAATAATAAATATTCTTAACTTTAAGCAACAGTTAAAGGTTTTCTGTGACTTGAAAACCTGACTCACTGTCAAAGCAGGTGAGTCAGGTCTTCTTCAGATTTTATGCTGGTATATTTGGGATATACATTTCTCCTACTGAAATCTTACCTGTAAAACCTGGAAGGCTTACAGCTGCCAATGAGAAAAGCAGAAAAGTAGAAAAAAGATAGAGCCCTGATGATATCATTTAACCAGTTGGATGGAGCCTTATCTAAGGCCTGATATATGCTGTTGATTTAACAGCAGGGTGAATGAATAAATGAATATATAAATTGTGCCCTTTCCCTCCCGGTCCCCCTCAGGGACTAGAAGAAGTTTTAAAAGAATACTTAATTATCTATCACTACATAATAGATGACCCAAAACTTAAAACAATAATCGCAATAAAGGCTAAAAAAAGACACTTGTGCAGGGCTCTCCCTGGTTGTGCAGCGGGTTAAAGCACAGCACTGAGAAGCTAAAGCCACTTCAGCATGAAGAAGTGCACCAGAGGTGATCCACACAGTGTGGCAGACCTCTCCTCACCTGCCAGCTGCTCTCCTCAGCAGTGTACTTCGTCAATCATCTTGTTCTGCTCCCCACTCTGTCCCTGGTGAATCCTCTCACTGCCCCTGCACCCAGCCAGCTCTGTACGCATAAATAAATAAATCTTTTTTAAAAAAGTGCTAAAACATATGAAAACATAAGAGGAAATGTCACAGTGTATATACAGTGTATATATTGTGATATTCCAACTACATGATGTCCTGGAAAAGACAAAACTATGGAGATAATTGTCAGGTATTGGAAGGGAGGGATAAATAGATGGAGCACAGGATTTCTAAGGCAGTGAAACTATTTTGTATGGTACTATAAAGTAGGTAGATACATGACATACTTTTGTCTAAACCCTTTGGATGTACAATGTAAAGTGTTGAGGTGGGGTCATCAGTTATAAAAAATGCACCACTCTGGTGGCAGAGGGTAATAATGGGGGAGACTACATGTGTGATTAAATCTCTAGGGTCATATAAAATCTCATTTACTGGCATTTAGCAGTCAAAGCTGGCTGTCATTTGTATGTGGTACCTCCTAATATGGTTGCCAATTTCCAAGGGCAACCCTGTCCAGTGCCAAAGATGGGCTAAAGTGGTATCCTATTTTTCATGACCTAGTCTCTGAAGTCACATAGTATCTCTTCTGCTGAATTCTATTAATTAAGGCCATCCCAAGCTCTATCCAGATTTAAAATGAGAGAACACAGACCCCATCTCTGTGTAAGGAGTACCTGTAACCTTAGAAGAAGGTAGAATATGGTCTGTGATAAAATAAATATGTAACTGTAGCCATCTTTACACAATACAGTCTGCCACAGACATACAATAAACTGCAATTAGGATTTGATCATCTTAACTGATTACACTCAGTTCTAGCCACTGTATTTCAAGCCTTGTTTCATTGACTCTTGATAATAGTCCTTGAAGTAGATGCTAAGCTTTATCTCCATTTTTGAGACATTTGTATCTCTGAGACATTTGTTGAGACATTTGGTCACCCATACTCACAAAAATGCTTAATATTTGTATAAAATTAATGACATTTGTCTTGAAGAAAAAAACCCCAAAGCTTTAATCTTATGCTCTCACGTGGACCAATAAATTGCTACCTCTTCCTCATGACCCTCATTTATAAAACATCAATTGAATGTATTATATGCAGGGCAATATTTTAGGTTCTGGGGCTATAGTAGTGAGAAAATCAAAGTCCTTGCCTTCATGCACCTCCAGATTGCCATGATTAAGTGGTGATGAATTTCAGTAACTATGGTAGCCAAACTCCAAGATGGAGCTTGGACCATTTTTCAATCCTGTAACTGACTGGACCATACGCATACCCTTATACAGTCCCCTCCCATAATGAGTAGGGATCACCTAGGTAACCAATAGAGTATTGGGGAAATGATGAGTATCTTCTAAGGGTAGATCATCAAAGACATTGCAGCTTCCTCCCTGCTATTTACGTCTGGGCTCACTTGCTGTGCCAGCTGCCTTGTAAGCTATTTATGCAGCCTATGGGAAGGTGCATATGCAGGGATATGAGTTCTTCCAAAGCTACATGATTATATATTTTCAAAGAGGATCCTCCAACCCCAGTCAAACCTTCAGATGACTGCAGTTGTGGTTAGTATCTTGAATAAAATTTTCTGAGACACACAGAAACAGAACTGCTCCTGGAACCAGCTGCCTCAGTGGTGGGAACGGGCAGCAGCAGTGGTATTCTTTTACTCTGCTGCTACACCACAAATCTGTTGTGGCAGTTGCTCCTCAGAGCCCTAACTGTACTTCCTGCACTGTGAGATGTGCCAATCAGGTGTGAGCTAGGAGGTGATTGGTGCTTAATGGTCCAGTCAGTTACAGAATTGAACAATGGTCCAATCAGATCTGTGGGTGGGGCACCCTGAAGAGACTATAAGCCAGGGTCAGAGAAAGCTGAGAGAATGCCAGCCCCTCAATAGAGAGATGGTTCTAGCCCCACAAAAGAAGAATAAAGAAAGGGAAGACTCTGTTCTGGGCCTCCAAAGAAGAAAAGAAGAATACATCAGCTGATCTGAAGAGGGAAGTAACCTGAAGACCTCTGTCAAAGAGTTGGCCTCTGGTCCTTTCTTTGACATTGCCTGAAAGGGGCACCAAAGGCCCTGGGCTTGGTGTCTCAAAGAGCTGTTTGTTGTTGGTATAGTCCAACTAACTCCCAGAGTTAAACACTTGGTGTATCTGACACTGCCTCTGAGGGGCCAGTAGTGATCATCACTACTGGCCGGTGCTGTCCAGCACTCCTGGTGACCAGTGGTGACCATCACTGACACTGGATGAGAGATCCAGCCATTCCTGGCTACAGTGAGCACGTTGTTTCCCAATTGTAAAATAAACCTTATGGTTGTTTTTAGAGCCCGAGGTCTCTTGCGGTTGTGCGTGCACATGTGTAAGAACCCACAGACAGTGGGCCAGGCAGTTATCCTTTGTTTGGCTATAGCCCATTGGCCCCTGTTGT